TTAATGATCCAGGAATTATAATTAAATGTTTAATATATACTAAACGTTGTATAAGTAAACATTTCACTATAAATTTTAGTATGTTTCACTATTTTATATATCTTTATATCATATAAAATATTAAAATTAAAAAATAAAGAAGTCTTTGGCTAAAGCATATCAGTTGCAATTGCTTCAAAATTTGTGAGCAGTTCTTTTCTTTCTGTTTCATATAGAGGGAGAAAAAAGATTTGTTATGTTGAAAAATAAAATGAGGAATCGTATGATGTAAATTATATAGAATAATAAATTATAAAGAATAATAACAAGTTTCTTTGTATAAGCAATACAAATCTGTTTTTATTTAGCTAAAGAAAATCATTTTATAATTTTGTTGCATTATGATTTTATATACTTTGTTTATCTTTGTATGCATTGTCTAATGTGTGCCACTGATATAAAAGTGTTATCCAATAACTATTGTATGTCAATCTGCCTCTTGGACTATAAAATGTGTTTGATAACATTATTGATAATTACAATGAAAGCTATTGTTATTCTGACATTTTTCAGTGATTGTTCCTTATATTATATTTCAAAAGAGATCCAATTACGGTAAATACCCTTTTTAATTTTGAAATAATTATCGCCATACTAATCATACACAAGATACTGTACAAGATACAAGATAACTTTTTTGTCCGAAAGGAAATTACATTTGGATATTACGTCACATGAAAAAATTAAAAAGTCAAACATAAATATAAAGGAAGTGTTAGATATAAATTCCAACATAAAGTCTACAGTACAATATATACAACAATACATTACATAAAGATAATGTGTTTAAGCCAACCAGCCATTAAAGATTCTAATAGAATATGGAACAAAGGAGTTAAGGAACCGACTTGTTCTACAGTTGCAGCAATTTCACCTTTTCCCGGACCATCATTATTTAAATTAATCTTAAAATTCAATTTTTGTTTTTGCTTTTGTCATCTGTTTTTGTTTCTCCTAAAATCTATAATGCCAAATATGAAACTTTTTGTATATTTAGATCCATTTTTATAGTATTAATATTACCAATAGATATAAAATCTTGTTCTTACTAACGGTATGAACAAAAGTGTTCCAGAGATACAGTAGGCCTCGATTAGTCACCCAGAATGTATTATGGATTTTAAGGGCTACCATGATTTCATGTAAACATTGGGTGCTTTTGTCAAAAAAACTGATCATATCACAGAAATTAAAAGTGTGCCAATCTCACACACTCGTGCAATTTGTTTTTCTCTATTTTTTATTTTTATTATTTTATTGTTTTTTTATTGTTATTTTTATTATTACTAGTTTATTATTATTATTATCTCTGCCAGGATATGTTTTCAGTCATGTAAGTTTGTGTCTAGGAAAACGTTCCAGACAAGATATTTAAAAAAACTAATCAACTGATCTGAATGAAAGTTCGTGAGAGTTTAACCAAGTTACAAGGAAGAAATTATTATGAAGTTGTTGGTGACAATCTGGGTTGTGAATTTGAGGGTCATTTAAAGTGCTAAGGTTGTGTGTGTGTTGTGTTCAAAATATCTCAAAAACGGCTGCACAGATCTAAATGGAAATTACTGGGGTGTTATATATACCCTAAGAATGAGGTGATTAAATTTTGGTGACAACCCGAAGTAGGGTGTGGATATAAGGACTATTCAAAAGAAAACGTCCCACACCAGATATTTAAAAAACTAATCAACTGGTCTGAATGAAACTTTCATGAAAGTTTAACAGTTTAACCAAGTTACAAGGAAGAAATTATTAAGTGTTGGTGAAGATCCAAACTTGGGTGTGAAATTTGCCCACACTTTGGGAGACATATTTTATAGAAAGGAATTTGCGGTGGGCGGAGATATGCTCTCTACTGAGTGCTGCTTATTATTATTATTATTATTATTATTATTATTATTATTATTATTATTATTATTATTATTATTACTAAATCAAAATCTTAAAAGAAAAAGCATAACTGACTCGATTAAGAATAATGCTAAAAATCAAAAGAAGCTTTGGGACACCATACATAAATTAATTTCTAAAAATAATCAAAAGATCAACAAAGTTTGTACTAAAGACGGATACACAACAAATGATAAAGAAACTGCCAATATTTTCAACAGCCACTTTACTTCAGTTGGAATAAATCTTTCTTCTAACTTCCCTGTATACAAGCATACTGATTCACGAATTGATCATAACATTTTAGATAAGTTTGAATTTGATTTTATCACAAAAGAGTTTGTTTTCGATGAAATTTGTAAATTTTCATCCAGTAAAGCTAAAGTTCTTGATGGAATTGATTGTAAACTACTCAAACTTGTTTGTGATTCTCTATCTTATATTTTCAATCTATCATTATCAACATCTTCATTTCCTGATGAATGGAAATGTGCAAAAGTCACCCCCATTTTTAAAGATGGTAATAAGAGTGACCAAAATAATTATAGGCCAATCTCTGTGTTACCAATGATATCTAAGATCCTTGAATGAGCAGTTCATGATCAATTGTATAGCTACCTTACTGAAAATAATATCCTAAACGAATCTCAGTCTGGGTTTAAGAAAACCACTCTACTCATATAATACCACTTTGCTTGATGTCATTGTCACTGATTATATTCTCAAAAACACTGTCAAAGGTAATGTAACTGCTGCGCTTTTTCTTGACCTGAAAAAAGCCTTCGACACAGTCAATCACGTAAATTTAATTGATAAAATATGGTATTATAGTGATATTGCCTTAGAGATGTTTAATTGATATTTAAGAAATCAGTCACAAGTTGTTTGTATTAATTCTGATAAGTCTGATTGTAAAAATATTTGTATTAGTATCCCGCAAGGTTCCATATTGGGGACCACTACTTTTTATAATTTATGTGAATTCTCTCCCAAACAGTGTTTCTTGTAAATCTGTTATGTACACCGATGACACCACTCTGCTGTGTAGTTCATCTGACCCATTAATACTTCAGAATGAATTAAATCATAATCTTGACAAAATAGTTAATTGGTTCAATAAAAATCACCTGACACTAAATATTAAAAAGACTAATTTTATGATTTTTGGAACAACACAGAATATTCTAAAATTTAATAATGTTACTGTGAGCTATAATAATGACTCCATTGACAGAGTTGATTTTTTTAAATACCTGGGTGTTACTTTTGACCCGCAGCTTACATGGAACAAACACATTGAAAGCTTATCTTCTAAAGTTTCTAAAAGGATTGGTGTCATCCGTCGTCGTATCAGATATTTTGTACCTCAATTTATTCTTAAGATGTTAGCTAAAACTATTGTTTTACATTTATTTGATTATTGTTCTTGTGTATGGTCAAACTGTTCCATACGATTACCTAATAGCTTACAAGTTCTGTTAAAAACCCTTAGGAAGAATATTACTTTCATGTGATATTAGAACACCAATTAATGATATTTTAAATTTGTTGAACTGGCAAACTCTGAAAAATAGAGACCAATTATTATTTTTAACTTTTAACCTTCAAGGACTTGCTCCCTCCTATCTAATTAATATGTTTGTTTTCCTTGAAAATGATAAAAACACTAGAAGCCAGACAAATAATCATCTTGTAGTTCAACAATGAAAGTATGTCAAGGAAAACAAACTTTTCATTACCTTGCATCCATGAAGTGGAACCAACTACCTAGCAATATAGCTAGGGATTTCCAGAATTTTAACCAATACACATTTAAAAATGCTCTGAATTTTGGTCTCTCTTCTATTTTTGTGATTATGTCCTCTACTTTTGTAATTAAGTCATCTATTTTTGTAATTAACTCCTTTGTTTAATTTTCCTAAATTTTTCTTTTCAATTTTTCAATTTTTGTATTTTATGTTATGTAACTGGACCACAACGAAAACCAGTGCCTTTGCATTGAGCCAGTATATTTGAGCCAGTATATTTGAGTCAGTATAACGAAAGTTAAATAAATAAATAAATAAATTATTATTATAACTATTGCTATAACTACTATTATAATTTTATATTGACATTTTAATTTACTTTATAGAAAATTTATCAACACTTGTTTTGTTGTGAAATAAAATAACTTGTACTTGAAAAAAATAAATATTTCCCTGCCAATTAACATAAACAGTAACATTTGTATATTATTTTAATGACCCTTAATAAATTTAAGGATTTTATAATTAAAAAAATAAACTGTAAATAAACGAAAGCCTTTTCATTTTTAAGAAAAGTAATTCTTATACCCTCTTCCTGTCTAGGAAAAAAAAAACCCTAAATAAATACTTAAATACATATTTAATGATAATAATAAATTGCTATTTATATAGCCCATATTGCACAAACTGCCTCTATTTGCACTTTACTTTAACTAAAGAGGGCTTAATACAATGTAAAAAAAATAAAGATAAACTACAACTGTAGTCCAATTATTAAAAATAATACATTGCAAAAATATTAAGATAAAAAAATTATATGTGGCAAAGACAAGCCAAACCAGTCACTCATTGGAAAATTGATTTTGAGTTACTATTTTAAGTTAAAGAGTAAAATAAGAGCTATAAAACGGTAAAAAAATAATTCAAATCCGACATTTCCTTATGACAAGCATTTAAAGAACAATATTTCAGAAATCAGCCTGCAAAGTTTATGATTTCGGGCAGTTCTCATTCAGATACTATCATGAAATCCTTTGCAACGAGTGGCTGGTTTGGCTTGTCTTTGCCACATACATACTACAGTATATACAGTACCACATTAACTGGACTAGTAATTAATAATACATTGGCCACCTTTATTTGCCAGTTCATTTCCTATTCACTTAAGCACCTCAGATTAATACATTTTAATAAATCACAAAATATTATAAAGAAAACATATTGACAGAAAACTCTAGAAGTCCTAACTTGCATATACTGTACTCATCTTAATGTTATTATATAGGTCAGATTACATGAAGGTAAAGACAATAACATTTTACCAACCTTAGCATAGAATGTACGGTACTAATTGCGAAAAAATATGATATTGAGTGACCTAAAAACTCATCTGCTGAGTTTGGCGAACAACGCCAAGCGGACTAAACATTGGAATGGACATCGTCAACACTATACGATATACAGAACATCACTGCTCCACAGTTCATCAACAATTGTGGAATTGACTTGAGTGAGGTTACTAATATGTCTTTGTGAATTAAGCTACTCAGACAAGCCAGCAGCCAATAGGATGTGGTTTTAGGAAGCCATGGAAAAATGCTTAATCCTTTAGAGTATATATAAGGACTTGAATTTAATTACCAGTATAGTACTTTTAAGAGTAACTTGAATTTTTATTCAATAGTAAAAACGACAGCAAATGTAGTATCACTGTATGAATAAAATCGCCTACAATATTACTTGAAATTTTTTCCATTTTAGCTTACATACTATTTATTGGCCAAATGCACTTTCACTGCCATGTTTGCGCTGACGTGTTAGTTTGCCTACAGGGCATTTTAAAGAGAGTAATTTTGCCTGAAGCTACAGTAATTTGCTGACAGGTATTTGTTTGGGACTAAGTAAATCATTCCCAAGCCACTATGGCCCATAGCCCCGGAGCTTATCCCCAGTTTTAAGTAGCGTGAAGCAGATGAGGGTGTGATCTCACCCTGGGTGGAACGCTAGTCCACCGCAGGTACTCCCAGCAATTCGCTGGCAACCATTTATACAGTTGGGCAGACTGAAGCAATGTACAGAAAGTGCCTTGCTCAAGGACACAAGCAAAATGCACAGCGAAGGATTGAAACCGCGACCTCGAGTTTGGCAAACCAAACTGTTTCCACTGCGAACCGCCTCTAATTTGGAACTACTGTGATGAACTCAAATTAATATACTATGCACCCACCAATTCCACACCCCTCTAATAAACCCCTCTAGTTTGAGACCACTTCTTCAAGGAACAAAATAACAATCTTCAATCACAAAGATAACCCTCTATATATTGGAGACCAAAGCAAGAGACCATTCCAAATGTCATGACCCTAAGGTAGTCTCGATTTGAAGGGCGAACTGTATTAAGTGCCTATTATCATACATTAGTACACACTTGTAGTCCTATCGAAAAATGATTACAGACAAAATGGATTACAAAGTCCTCCACACAGAGCATTAACAATGGGCTTTCTTTTATCTATCATAAAAATACACAAAAGATAAAATAGCTCAGTGGGCTAGTATGACACTTATGGGTGTGATATTAACGACAGTGCTGGATATTCCACAAGTTTAGGGAGCATACACATACAAAAACAGTCCTAGGAAATCAAATGGCAGAAACTGTTTTTAAGAATGATTTGGTAATTTTTGGATGATTCACATTAGAAGATAAAAAAATATTTAAAAATGACTAATATTTGAGATTGGATCCAGATGAATGTCTTCAATGATATTACATTATTGTGGTCAATAATATTGTTTTAATTTCTCATGTTTTGTTTGTTAGTTAACAAATAAATAAATTTAGAAGAACTATATTCTGCTTATTTAAATTAAATATGTTTTAAATTACCAAATTTCTGGCATCAATATATGCTTACCTAACCAATATTGATCAAAACTGAATCCAATTACTTCCAAAAATGTTGAGCTTCAATCCGAGAATTCTCCCTTGATTCCAAATGGGCTTGCTCCTTCATCTGCCTGGAACCCTAGACAGGCAGCCCACTGCAAGTATTAATGATTTCGAATAAAAATAAAATTTTATTTTTGGCCTATTAGAAAAAGTGAAAATTTTAGAAAAAATAAAAGTTTTTCTTTTTTTTTATTACGCCCTCCGCAGCCTTGAAATCTCCAAAGATAAGATATGTATATTTTTTCCTAATTATATCAATTTGAAGCATTTAACCATCCTATTTTACATTCACCAATAAATTTTTTTTTTCTCCACTATCTGAAATTGATTTGATTTGGTTTGATGTATTAGTGTACTCAAAATTACAAAACATAAACAAAGACAATAGAGTAACGGGATTATCGATTAAGCCAACAATGCTGGTGGGGTCCTAAAATGTTTTTGGCAAAACTATTTGCTAAATAAGAAAACAAAATTTTATTTTTATTTTTATTCTGCCCTCGCAAAACAAGGAATAAAAACAGTTTCGTCTAAGGGTGCCATGGTTGGCATACTGTACTGTAGGTTGATGCTTAGACACTAACTGTGAATTTGCTTGATTGATTGATTAATTATATTCAGTTTCAACAAACTACAGAAGTAAATTGGCCTACAAATAAAATTACAAAAAACATATAACATTAAACATATGAAACCAGGATAACCTATAAACTTATTTCTAATAGAGTCCATGGAATAGGAATGGGAAAAAAAATTAATACAACAAAAAATAGATTATTACTGTAAATAATAATTACAAAACCAAATTACTAAGATTTATATAATATATAAATTAAATATATCATAAAAAGGAATCTTTTCTGTGTAAGGTGCTATCTCATCTGAAATAACCTTCCAGTGCACATTCGATCTTTACCTACTGCGGCTGTCTTTAGGTCCAACTTAAAGACTCGCCTCTTTAATTAATTATCTTCATTTTTATTTTTATTTCATTTATTGTTGCATTATCTATTTATGGTTCTGAACTTTGCCACTGCTTCTTTTGATTTGTTTACTTTGTTCTGTGCTTGGATTAGGCATGAATGATCATGACTATCTGTGGGTTGTGAGGTGCCTAAATATGTGGGGTGCAGTGCTTCCTTCCTATCTGCAAAGGAAGGTGCTTTTATATTATGACCTGATTGGATTGGATCATAAATTTAAAAACACCTTTGATCTATGATTTTCCAACTGTGAAAACTCAAATAGTTATGCTACATAAATTGCCATTACTATTCATTATTAATTAAAAAAATATTTTCATTCTTCCTCTCTGTCCTTGTTCAAATCACTTTTTAATAATGGGTCATTAAATTTCATCTTTGGCCCTATAAAAAATATTATTAGTTTTATCAGTTTATTCTAGGCTGGAACAGTGATGATGGAGGGAGGCTTTTTATTAATTTTTATTTTTCTAAAGGCAAATATCACCCTTGGCTTGTTTGCTGGTGCATTGATATTTAAAGTAAAACATGATTCAGATAATACAAAGAAGACATACTATCTATCTAATTACAAAATAAATAAAAATCCAATTTTTTTTTTTATCTCAAAAACAGGTTTTTTTTTCAATACCACAGAAGGCATGTGCGCAAGGGTGATAAACTAATAATTTTTTGATTGGACCTTATTTTTCTAAAGTAGGGAAATGTTTTTCTGTGTCTTCCCTTAGTAGTACCCTCAGAATTTTAATGATGATCAAATCACTGCACGTATATTATTGAGTAGATTTTAACAAAACCACCTGTGTACTGAACAGGGTAAATGTTGCTGGTTGGTGCATCTAGACAATAAAAACTTATTGCAGCAAAACAAGACATGTTGACTATACATGTTGTCAGGGGGGATAACTTATTCCTTCATGGTTGAAAATTATTAGATGAATAAATATTTAGCTGGTATATCATTACCTCAAGATTCAAGATAGCTTTTACTGTCCATTAAAAAATAATATCATTAGAAGAAACCAAAAAGAAGTTTAAAGAGCACCCAAATTAGTTTAAAGAGCACCCAAATTATCTAAAATTGCCAAACACACACCCCCACATACACACACATATATATCTGTCTCTTATACACATCTCACAGAGAAGGATTGAAACCGC